TGAGAAGCGGTTGGATGTGAGTTGTGCCGCAACGAGTGGTGCAAATGGCGGACACAATGACGCCGACAGTGATGTCGGAAGCGATGGTTCGTCGCCGACATGTTATATATGTCTGAATGTATTCGCGGGTCAAGACATAGGAAGTCCTGATTCTTGCGATGATTTGCATTATTTTTGTTTGGATTGTATCGAAGAGTGGAGTAAAGTATGAATAAGTTTGCCATTGATTGCCATTGAATTGTTTGAATAATGTTTATATGTTTGATAGCAAATCAATACCTGTCCGGTGGATAGGAAACGGTTTACCATAATCTGTGTGCGTCGAGAGATTGGCAGTGCTATCATTATGAAGGTATCAATCATTTCACTATTACTACTATTACCCGACATTGCATTTATTGATGAATAGTTTTGCGCAAAAATACGAGTTTGATTACTATATTGTTTAACATTCAATACTAATCCTATATATTAATATTGAATGAAAGCATTTAGGAGTCGGACAGTGATTGGGATTATTTTCCCATAGTTTTCAATCTGAACGAAACTCTAGTGCTTTGCAATATTTGTTGTGATGAATAGTTTGATTAAACATGTGATTTGTTCGCTACAAAGATACCGATCGTTCAGAATGTGGTGCCAGACATGGATGCGGTGCCGGAAGACGTGACATACTGTGAGATCTGTGGCCGATGTGATCGTGAAGACCGCCTCCTGTTGTGTGACGGTTGCGATTTTGGCTATCATTGCGAATGTCTTTCCCCTCCCATTGAGACGATTCCCATCGAAGAGTGGTTTTGTGCGGACTGTTATCAACGACTTTTCGGCGATACTAGCGATCCATTGGCCGAACGGCGGCGTCAAAGACGCGCAATCGCTCGCACGGGTGCTTCCGAAGCGGTTCGGCAACGAATACTACAGCGACGACAACCAAACAACGCAACCGCACAACGAAGACCTGCCATCAGAAGACGAAAGCGGAGGACAACTACGAAACGTAAACGTAAGTCAACTAAACGTAAGACAAAGACAACGAAAACGGGTATAAAAGGCCGAAAGAAACGCCGCACTACTCGACGACGTAAGAAAAGGAGGACTAGAAAATCGGCTTTTGCTTCCCGAAGGCTACCGGCGCCCAAAGACGCCCGAACTCGCATTGCCTCCAAATTAGGTATTATTTCGTATTTGATTGACAATACAGTATATAGTGTTTGAATGAATAAAGCTGTGTTTACTATAGGTATAGGACCGCCGCCTAAATCTCCTTACGGTTTGCCATCGATGAAGAACTTGGCGTACGAATCAATTCGCAAAATAACCGACTTGAGAGCGGCCGCCGGTATCTCACATCTATCCATATTTGGTACCGAACTCGACACTTACGACCCAAGAGTACAGACTGTGGACGACGATTGTAATAATGCTTTCATAGGTGACGCCTCTTCGGCAACAGTTGGCGTTATGGCTCGGAGTCGTATTGACACAAATCACTTAATAATGAGTGGAATTAAAAGACAAAAAGCCTTTCTATTGAGTGACAATGAGGTGTCAAACGGCCATTCGTTGGATATATTGTCAACTATAATGTCTTCACAAACTTTATTACACTCTTCGTCGAGAGATGTGCACATCGGAAGAGATGGTTCACTCCATCGCCTCAATCGTCAAAATTCATCGCCACTTCCGGTGCGAAACTGTGCTAACGGTAGCGGTCAGTCATCGCCGGCTAGAA